ACAATGGATGTAGGCGTAGGTAGAGATGATATAAATACCTGTGTCCGTAAGTAGGTCCTAAAATCGGAGCTGCTAACCTGGCTCAAAACCACCAGTGATGATAAGACCGCTTGGCCCCAGGTGTGAGGGTTTTTATTTTCTTTGCATTGAGTTGTAATCCTTGGTCTTCAATAAGGGCTTCACGTCTTCCTTATGTTCAGCAAACAGAGTTGTGCTATCTGCAATTTGTAGATCATTAATCATTCCTTTCTCTAAATCCTAATATCGACTTCAGCCCATCCTTGGAAAGGATTGGTGGAGGGGAGGGGGGTGGGGGCAGGTGTCTCTCTCACAAGGTAGACTAGGAGCTCGGTGGAGGCAGGACCATGTCTTTATCCCTTTCATTGCCTTTGTTCCCGGCTCCGAGGCTGGGCACGGCTGGCACGGCTGGAGGAACAAGACACCTGTGAGAGACTATGGGCAGCGAGGGCCACGCCCAGCTGCTGACCGCTGTAGCTCGGAATGGACAGGGTAGGTAGGTGAGGATGGAGGACTTGGCCACGGGGAAGAGAGGTTAGACCTGAGGAGCCTGTGTTGAACCCCCAAGAGCAGCAGAAAACATAACACCCTCCTCACGTGCTGTCTGTCTGCTGGTCTCCTCTCTCCTCCACCCGAGGCAAGTTCCTTTGTGGGCAGGCAGGCGTCCTGCCTGCTCCTGAGCCAGCAGGTCTCGTGATGGCCAGCAGATGGCAATGTGGTATCGTGCCTCAGTCCTCCTTTGCAGGGGTTTCCACCCACAGCAAGGACCGCCTATTAGTGGTGCACGCTGGGCGGGGAGGGCCTGGTTGGTGTGGGTGCCATTGGGATGATGCCGGCTCACAGGGACCCGGTGTGAAACAGAACGAGAAACACTGCTGGTCCTTCCTGCGCCATCGCGTGATTGTTCTTACATGTGAGCCCATTGTTGCAGCCACTGTGCCCATCCATCTTGTGGAGGGCGGGGTTAGTCTAGGGAGACGAGAGAAGCAAAATTCGTAGACACTCACGTTTTAGAAGACAGAGTTTTATAGAAAGGGTAATTGCACATTAGGCATCCCAACCCAGCCCAGTTCAAGCGCACAAGTCCGACATTAGCCCATGTGTCCGACATCGAGCCACAAAGTCCTCCTCCATCTCACAAAACACACGCTATGACGCCAACTGCAGGAGGAAAGCCGCGTCAGTGAGTGTGTAAGCATCTCAGCGCTGAGGGGTCTCCACACGGCTGCTCCAGCACCCAGGGCTGCATCGGGGTAGGTCCATGTGGCTTCTCCTCGGGATGTCTTGCACGAAGTGAGCCTTGCCAGCTGAAGCAGGGAACTGGCTAAGGCAGCTGCACCCTGGTGCGACCATCACAAAGCAAGAGACCCGAGAACTCGAAAGGCGAGGCTCACCAAGCCATGTATCCCTCCGCCCATCAATGAATCCCACCTGTGTTGATCGGCCAGGTTGAAACAATAAACCTTAACTATCTCTAGGGCCTTTGTTCTTTTACACTGCCCGTCCACTTGGCCAAACGCCATGTCCTTCTCCAGGGACTGGTCTCTCCTGGCAACACGTCCCACATACGTCAGATGAAGGCTCGCCCCCCTGTCCTCTGAGGAGCCTCCTGGCTGGGCTTCTCCCGAGGCAGATCTGCCTGTGCTTCTGGCTGTCCCGGGGGGCTTTCCATCTTCTCTGCCAGCACCCTTCAAATGCACCGACTCTTCTTCAGTCTCCCCATTCAAGGTTCAACTCTCCCGTGGCTCTGAGGCGACCAAAAATACCACGGCTCATCCTCATCCTCAAAGTCATCTCCTTGCTGTTCAGCACGTTCAAGAGGCCTTGTGCAGCGATCTCCCGACTGCTGCTTCCTTGAGCATTGATTGTGGATCCAAGCAAGACTAAACCCCTAGAGGGCCTTAGACACCACCGTGTCCATAACTCTTATTTGCCCACGCTCCTGAAACTGTGCCTCTTCTGCAGGGTCTTAGACCCAGTTCTCCAGCGCTCTGTCCTCCTGGTGCAGCACACACCTCTGAAAGACCAGTTTGTCAGACCCGTCGGTCGGTCGTGGAGACAGCTCCAAACTGGAGAGCAAAGGCGGGAGGGACACACAGCCATGCGCTGGCTGGTTCGGACTCTGCTGCCAATTTGCTGTGTGACCTCAGCACCCCTGCCTTCCCTCTCTGGTCTTCAGTCTCCACCTCTACAAAGAAACTCGGCTTTCCACTTGGAACTCAGGGGCCTGGGTGGTGCAGTGGGTATGCAGTGGACTGATAAACCACAAAACCACCAACAGTTCTGAGGGAGAAGAGGCTTTCTACTCCTGTAGAGAGTTACAGTCTTGGAAACCCACAGGGGCAGTTCTACTCTGACTTCTAGGGTCACTATGGGTCATTGGCAATGAGTGTGTGTGTGTGTGTGTGTGTGTGTG